GATGAGGGACTTCTATTGCAGCCCAAATGGAGTAATACCTGCTACTGTAAATAACACAAGGTGCAGAAGCCAGGTGTTTACATTGGTCACATGCCAGACAGCAAAAGATAGTGCACTTGGAGAGAGGAGAAATAGATGAGGTAAGACCCAGCATTGCACCTAGCTTACAGTCTGGTGGTAGTAGCCAGGCCACAACATGAGAGGGCTTCCTTAGTTACAAAGGAGCTCGGAGCCCAGGAATGTCGAGAGCAGTACACTGTAGACAGCCTCTTGGGGAGATCTGCACAAAAGGCTCTGAGGAGATGTGGAGGATCCCCTTCATTTTCAGTTCCGTGAATCAGTGCATCTGGCATGGAATATGCCAGAAGCCAGAAAGAACCACCCGAGGGAGAGGGGGAAACCCTGGAGTTTGTGTTCTCACTGGTAAAAGTGGAAACCCATGAAAAGCACAAGGCTTTAGTTAGAATCTGAGAAGTAGATTGCCTCCACAGTAGGCAGGGGCAGTGGACAGCCAAGACATAAAGGTTTTGCTGGGCTGCCTACCAAAGCCTAGAACTAAGACTCTGACCAGCTGGTGGTGTGGTTAGGGCGACCGGATCTCAAATTGGCCAGTGGTGTGGTTCCAGTTTTGGACATTGTGACTTGGAAAAAACACCAGGTAGGTGTGCTTGCATGCCTACAATTCTGACAGAATAGAGAAGGGATTCATCTCCCTAGGGTGCTTTCTCTCTTCCTGTCCCCTGTCTGCCCCACCCCAGCAAGTATGTGTGCCCTATAGCAAAAAAAAAAAAAAAAAAAAAAACCCAAGATTCAAGAGGATTAAATTCTTCCCAAATTAATGACATCCTAGAAGAAAGCTCAACAATAATTTTAGGCAGGCAAAAATATCCAGCCTACATGGTGAAATTTGATCTGGCCCCATAGCCTCGTAGTTAAGGAAAGCAGATTTCATATGGCCAAGCACAGTTTGAATCCCAGCTCCAGTGGCCTGAGAAATATGCCAGGTGCGGGTGCTTGCCCCCAATCCTGATAGGGTGGACAAATGGAGAAGACTGCAGCGTTACCATGTCTCATTGCAAGGGGGGGGCGTGTTCTTACTCTTTCTCCATCTCTAGCAAGTGCACATACCCTCAGGCAATTAAAGGAAAAAGATGGTAAAATTCAGTGTCTGGTCTCCAATGAAATATTAGCAGACCTACAAAGGAAGATACAACCCAAAATGAGGAGAAACAATATAAATAGGCCCAGAAATGACGTAAAGTAGAATTAGCATTAAAGGACAAGTAGTTATGACAAAACAGTTGCTGTATTATATTTTCATCAAACCAGTTACATGCTATTTAATTATACTGTAGTTATAATTACTGTCACATTCAAGAATATATAGATGTTAAATCTAAATTAAGCTGTTCTAAATGACAAATAAGTCAGAGATGAAGATACATGGAATGAATTTGACAGCAGGTTCACTGCTGCAGAAGGGATTAGCCACAGTGACCTAAAGACAGGAACGGGGAGGGACCAGCAGTTGGCATAATGGCTATGTCACTGGACTCCCATGTAGTCGACTGTGGTTCTAGTCCTAGGCCCAATGATTTAAACTCACGCTGGGTGCGTGTGCATGCGTGCCTAAGATCCCGAGAAGGGAATGGAGGAGAAGGTTTCGACGTGGCTATCCCCCCTGGGGGGTGATTTCTCACTTTCTATCTCTCTGTTTCTCTCTGTCTGGCGAGCGCAAGTGCCCTATAGCAAAAACCTCTCCAAGGGCGGGGGTGGGGGGAAGGAACGGGGAACGCCAGAAAAAAATTTTTTTTAAAGTTGATGTCAACAACTCCACGACAGAACTAGTATCTTTGTAATTTGGATCTCCAGCTGAGAATTGACAAGAATTATCTTGACAAAACAGTGGATGATGAGAAATATCCAAATCTGATGAAAACTAAACCCACAAATCCAAGCTCAGTGAATTCTAAGCATGCACACACACAAAGAAAGGAACTCAAGACATAATAATCACATTGCTTGAAATCATTGATTTAAAATTCTAAAGGCAACTAAAAAATTCGCAGAAAAAGAAAAACTGACAGTGAAGTTCATCAGAAACAATGCAAGATAGAAAACACCAAAGCATCATCTTTAACTACTGAAGGAAGATAAAACTATCAATCTACTAATAGAATTACATACCCAGCTGAAATATCTTTCAGAACACAAAGGTAAAACTTCCAGTTTCCAGTTCTGCATGACAGGAACTTGAAGTCGCCACTCTGTCCTAAGAAAAGACAGAAAATGAAGAAACTCGTTAGATCCATGAGAAGTTAGGTCATAGGACAAACTGCTTCCCCAAAATTGAAATGACAGATGGATACAGAAGGTCACAATGTACCAGAACAGAAACTTTGGAAACCAATTTCGGGATAGACTAACCTGAAATGGACTTGATAAATTGATAGAGGCTAGAAGTGGACAATTCTCAGAGTTAAAAACTCCAGGGACACCCAGTCATAGGGCAACCCCCATTATTTTCTGAACTTTGCAGGAGTTGAGCCGGGTTTGCACAGTCAACATTGGAGAAAAGGCTTCCTGTCCTAATGGGGGCTAGGGAAGGGCAATTGGAAACATGCCAGAGCACTTTGTTCTGTTTAACAAATTCTGTCTTCAGGAGAAATAGCCAGAGCCTAGGCTCTGGGGTTTTGCAGAGCCTACCTGACCTTGGGGAAGGGAAACTCCTGGCTTTAGTCCCCTGTAACCATTCCGTCCCACTTAAGGGAGGATGAAAAAATACTTGTGAAGTTCACAGTCCAGAGGTACAGGCTCACTAAAAGACTGAGACCCAGTCGTAGGACAGTAGGCTGTCCTCTCCTCCAAGATACTGTGACCACATCACTGGAGGTCTATAGTTAATCATGTCCAGCTGTCAAAAATTACAAGCATACGGGATCAGCAGTTAGTGTAACGGTTATGTCGCTGGACTCCCATGTAATCGACCATGGTTTGAGTCCCGGACCTGTTGGCTTAAACTCATGCCGGTGCTTGTGCGTGCGTGTCCAAGATCTGAGAGGAGACTGGAGGAGAAAGGATTGCGGTGTGGCCATCCCCCCCAGGGAGTGATTTCTCACTTTCTCTCTCTGTCTCTCTTGTGTTTTTCTGGTGAGCACATGCACTCTTATAGCAAAAACCTCTCAAAAAAAAGAAAAAAATTACAAACATACTAAAGATCCATCCTGGGAGGAGGATAGAGAGGAAGGGATTGCAGCATGGCCATCTCCCTCTCCCCTGAGGGTGATTTCTCACTTTCCCTCTCACTGTCTCTGTTTCTCTCTCTCTCCTCAGAGAATTCACATGCCCTAAGGCAAAAACCTTAAAAAAAAAACAAAAAAAAAAGATCCTAAGAAAACACAAGAGGGGACCAGCAGGTGGCATGGTGGTTAAGGCACTGGACACTCCCACATAGCCAACCACAGTTCGAGTCCCAGACCTGCTGGCTTGCTTTCTCACTTTCTCTCTCTCTGTGTCTCGCTCTGGTCAAATTAAAATAGAATGAATGAATGAATTGAATGAATAAAAATTTTAAGAACAACCAGAAAGAAATGCTAGAAATCAAATGGTAACAGAAAAAGTAGTGATCAGACTATGTACACAGGTGGTGGCTTGGCAGGGACAGAATGCCCAGTGTGGCCGTCTCCTGCGGGGAGGGTCTGGTTTTGGGTCTGGAGACCTCCCTGAATAAACCATGATTCAGAGCTAAGGTGGACTGCAGCACCAAGACCCTACTGAAGCGTCTCTGTCGCCTCACTTTCTCGTGGGAAAAAAGAAAGAAACTTACAATATTTTGAATGGAGACAGGCTGCAGTCAAGACAGCTAGCCCACATGGCCGACTGCGCAGTCTGAGTCTCAAGACTCGGCAGCATAGACATCCCACCTGGGGTGCTCTCTCACCCCCAGTCTGTCTCTTTCCAGAAGTGCACATGCCCTACAGTGAAGCTGAAAAAATATTTTGAACTAAACGGAAATGAAAGCAACATACCGAAATTTATTAGATGCAACCAAAGCAGGGTTTACAGGGAAATCCGTCAATGTGGAAAAGCTCAAAGTTTTTTTCTCTAATATTAAGAGCAAGGGGAAGAAGTTCACTTCAGCCCCTTTTACTGAACACAGAGCTGGAAGCTGTAGCCAAGCAGTTAGGCAAGAAAGAAGTTTCTGGCTATTTTTAAATGAAGCATACCACAGTAATTTAAGGGGTAGAACTCTAATCTGGGTTATGCTAGGTACTGAAATACTTCCTTAATGCATGTTGGCCATCAAGATGAATGTTGCATGTCAAAAGCATGAATTGATGTATGTACCATGTCATTACATGTTTTATAAAGTTTGTAACTTAAGACTTATGAATGTGCTACCTAAATAATGATATTATTTATTCAAGACTGGTAAGTGAAAGGGAAGTACATTTTGAAGCACTCATGGATAGCATTTTCATAGCAGGGAAGGAACGTAAAGGGTTTTCCTTACCTCCCTCTCCTGTGGCCCACTCAGTTGCCTCTCAAGACACCACTCTTGTTTCAGTTCTTTGGGGTCTTCCACAGATACTCTAAGTGTATGCATGCACATATGTATGTGCACACGTGTGCATATAGAAAAATACATACATAGGTAACATTATTTATACTTTCTTTTACCAGATCGATAGCCAGAAGTTAATACAGAATTCGGTCCCACATTGTCATAGAAGTCTGTTACAACAGGATTACAAACTTGGTGTCAGCCCTGCCCCATTGAGCTACTTGCTCTTGGGGGTGCTGTTCTTTTTCCTTTTTCTTTTGGCTGCAGATATGCGTGCTCACCAGAGATAGGCAGCAGGGAGAGTGGGCGGGGCTTGGTCCCTCCTCCCCATTTCTCCATCCTGCTGGGTTCGGGGACTCTCCGGGTACATGACCTTTGGGAGCAGCCAAATCTGAACTGAACCGTGGTGACCTTAAAGACAGCAGCGCAGACTGGCATGGTGCTTGCTGAGGCTGCGCTGCCAGTGAGGTTAAAGGAAACTGCCGGCCAGAGAAGGCCGGGGGCTTATTTAGAATCCAAGACACAAGCCCTCCCCCGCTGTCTGAGGGGGTCCAGAACATCTGGCTTTCCATGCTGCTCCCCCATTGCCCTAGGAAGGAACAGATCTGTGACAGCTCAGTGCCATGGAGGTCTCCGCCGAGATGCCTGGTCTGTGCAATCCCCACTTCCCGCTACTTCTGTGTCGGTGTTTTTTCCAAATCCACCACCACTTCCACTCGGGGCCCATGTCCTCCTGCCTCTCAGGCTGAGGCACATGACATGTGTTCCAAGCTACCAGGGCAGGAATTCAGATTCAGCCTGTGGGATCTAACTCTCAAGCAGTAGGCTCTGGGCCCAGCCCTGTACAAGGATGTTTTAATCCACTATTTCAGTTTGTAATTTAGAAAGTAACCCCCTTTCTTTCTCTCCCCAACTCTGCTCCAGTATGCACAAATTCTGAAAGAGAGGCTGAGAGAATCCATCCACGACGTCCAATATGTGGAGCCCCCGTTTGATGACTCCATCGCCGACATAGGCAGAGAGTGGAAGAGCGCCCTGGCCAAGCTAAAGTTTGCCAATTCATACAGAATGGAGCCGCTGAGGAGATTCCAGGCTCACTCAGTAGAAGCTAAAGTCCAGCAGGTACTGAAGGTAGGCTGCCAGGTAGCGAGGGGAGCAGTGCGGTGTCGGACTCCCCAGAGGGCCAGGGCCCGGAGAGTGACCTGTGGGATTACTGTAGGGACAGCTCGCTCTGTTCTGGGCCTAGGCAGCCCATAGTCTGTCATCTGCAAGCTGGAACCCAGCCAAACTGGCCAGGTAATACAGTCTCGGATAGGTAATAAAGACCCCAAACCGGGGGTGATGCCTGAGTCTAAAGGCCCAGGAACCTGGAGTGTGGGTGTGTGAGGGCAGGAGGAGGCAGACATCCCCACTCAGGCAGAGGACAAATTGGACATCCGTCCACCTTGTCTGTTCAGCCTTCGCTGAGCCCGTCAGCCCTGGAGCGTGACCTTCCCACAGTCTGTCGATGTGTAGACTTGCTCACCTTTCTGAAAAAACCTTCACAGACACACTCAGGGGAAAAAAGTCTTACGAGCTACTTGGGGCACCCCTTAGCCCAGTCAAGTTTCAGTGAACTACCACAGGTTCACCTTGTCACCTGAATATCCCTACAAATCTTAGAACAAATTCAATCTCAAAGTAAAGATAGTAGCAAGGCCAAATCTTACAGACCTGCAGAGCACTAAGTAGGAATAGGAGACAAACGTCCTAGTGGTGACGCAGCACCCATTCCTGATGGACAGCTCAGGCTGCTTAGCAATGTGGTGCCCATGGTGCCATGGTGAGGTGTGCAGTGTCTGAGGCCCACATGGTTCTTGGAAGGAGACTCGTTCTCTGCAGATGACGGCAAGGCCTAGCTCCAGAACTGAAGCCTGTGCTGCTGTTCTCCCCCGGAGTGCTGCCAGGGCTCCAGGCAGCGTCCCTGTCTGCAGCTGGCACCCAAGCCCTTGGGTCCTCTGCGTCATCCAGACCAAGTGACAGAGAAGCTGGAAGAAACCTGGACCGATTGCAGGGCCTTGCCTCATTCTGGGCCCCCCTCAGCGCTAGTACTTCGCACATCCCTCACTGCATGGGTCAGAAAGCGCATCCACAGGAGAGGCAGACTGCCTCTAAGTGCTGAGAGCACAGGCACTGTGCTTCCTTGGTTGTAGGAGGGGCCAGACAGCAGCTCGTCCTTTACCTTAGAAGGGACATCTTGCCATGCCCACCCACCAGATGCCGGCGGTCTCCCTGAGGTAGAAGTCACTGAGTTTTAGTCAGGTCTGCATCCTACCCCAACACACAAACACCGCACTATCACGTCTAGATTATCTGCCCCTGCTTGTGCACTGGGTCAGGCTAGTGTAACCCTGTCAGTGCAGCAGCCCCTGTGACATCCTCCGGGGCAGGCAGCAGGGCTGTGAGCCACGCTGTGCCATAGGCCTGCAGAGTGGGTACTCTGAGGCAGGCCAGGAAGGGTGTATGGCTGGCCTTTCCAGCTGAAAGCAAACTGCTTTCGGGCAGCTGTGGACAGCATTGGGAAGAGGGTTTGCCAGGTCACTGTCGACACAGAGGCCCAGGAGGTACCGGCGCCTGTGAGCAGTGAAGGCACAGCTGGTACAGCAGCTGCAGTCCAGGCCGCCCTCCAACGAGCTCAGGATGACCCACGGCCTCTCGTGGGCCACAGCAGGGCCAAGTGGTGAGGCGGGGTCAGCACCCCACGCCTTCCAGGTGCTCGGCGGTTGCAGTCCTTGTAGGGTGCGATCTTGCTTTTGGTGTGCTGTGTATCTCTGCTCGTCAGTAAGCACGGTTTAACTGCTCCCACTCGGGCGTGCCCACCACAGCAGCCGTCACCTCACAAACTGTAGAACCAGCACGGACATCCTGCCTGCGGCAAGCGCGGCTCTCCATCACGCTTCCTGGACCTGGACTGAGGTGGGACATCCTGCCCGCGGCAAGCGCGGCTCTCCATCACGCTTCCTGGACCTGGACTGAGGTGGGACATCCTGCCCGCGGCAAGCGCGGCTCTCCATCACGCTTCCTGGACCTGGACTGAGGTGGGACATCCTGCCCGCGGCAAGCGCGGCTCTCCATCACGCTTCCTGGACCTGGACTGAGGTGGGACATCCTGCCCGCGGCAAGCGCGGCTCTCCATCACGCTTCCTGGACCTGGACTGAGGTGGGACATCCTGCCCGCGGCAAGCGCGGCTCTCCATCACGCTTCCTGGACCTGGACTGAGGTGGGACATCCTGCCCGCGGCAAGCGCGGCTCTCCATCACGCTTCCTGGACCTGGACTGAGGTGGGACATCCTGCCCGCGGCAAGCGCGGCTCTCCATCACGCTTCCTGGACCTGGACTGAGGTGGGACATCCTGCCCGCGGCAAGCGCGGCTCTCCATCACGCTTCCTGGACCTGGACTGAGGTGGGACATCCTGCCCGCGGCAAGCGCGGCTCTCCATCACGCTTCCTGGACCTGGACTGAGGTGGGACATCCTGCCCGCGGCAAGCGCGGCTCTCCATCACGCTTCCTGGACCTGGACTGAGGTGGGACATCCTGCCCGCGGCAAGCGCGGCTCTCCATCACGCTTCCTGGACCTGGACTGAGGTGGGACATCCTGCCCGCGGCAAGCGCGGCTCTCCATCACGCTTCCTGGACCTGGACTGAGGTGGGACATCCTGCCCGCGGCAAGCGCGGCTCTCCATCACGCTTCCTGGACCTGGACTGAGGTGGGACATCCTGCCCGCGGCAAGCGCGGCTCTCCATCACGCTTCCTGGACCTGGACTGAGGTGGGACATCCTGCCCGCGGCAAGCGCGGCTCTCCATCACGCTTCCTGGACCTGGACTGAGGTGGGACATCCTGCCCGCGGCAAGCGCGGCTCTCCATCACGCTTCCTGGACCTGGACTGAGGTGGGACATCCTGCCCGCGGCAAGCGCGGCTCTCCATCACGCTTCCTGGACCTGGACTGAGGTGGGACATCCTGCCCGCGGCAAGCGCGGCTCTCCATCACGCTTCCTGGACCTGGACTGAGGTGGGACATCCTGCCCGCGGCAAGCGCGGCTCTCCATCACGCTTCCTGGACCTGGACTGAGGTGGGACATCCTGCCCGCGGCAAGCGCGGCTCTCCATCACGCTTCCTGGACCTGGACTGAGGTGGGACATCCTGCCCGCGGCAAGCGCGGCTCTCCATCACACATTCTGGACCTGGACTGAGATGGGCGGGGCCCCAGCCCCATCTGAGGAGGGCATGTGTGGAAACTGCGTTGTTCACCTGCCCTCCGTGGGCCCAGCCTACAGGGCTCTGTGTTCCCAGTCAGTGCCCTCACCCAGACAGCACACACCCGCGAGGCTGGGGGCTCAGCCCCATTGTGAACCAGTCCCTGCAGCTGAAGTTTAAATAAGCAAGCAAACTTGTTCTTGGGGCAGTTGGAGAAATTCGGTATCTGTGTGGATACGATTAGATAGGAGCATTGTGAAATCGTTAATTTTCTTGGTGTGATTACTCACTGCAATTTCATACGAGATTGCCACTATTAGGAAAGCATGCTGGGGGCCGCCAGGTAGCATGGTGGTTAGGGACGCTGGACTCCCACGTGGCTGACCATGGTTCAAGTCCCGGACCCGGTGCTTGCTTTCTTGCTTTTTCTCTCTGTGTCTTGCTCTGAACAAATTAAAAATAACAATGATGATAAATACAATAAAGGAAATAATTCTAGCACGCTAAAGCATTTAGGGTGAAGCACCTAAGGCTTACACACACAGACCACTCAGCTTTCTCTACCCACCTCTGATGGCGTGTCTTTCTCCTTGCTGGTACAGGGAGGCCACCTTCCACGTGGGCAGAGGAAGGTCAGCGCGACCTGCATCTACTGTTGTGCTTTGTTTTTAAATTTTTCTCTAGGACTCATGTGCTTATGGGGGAACAGAGAGCGAGAGAGGGAGAAGTCGAGAGCACCGTCATGGATTATGGCCATCTGCAGTTCCTCCTCCATTCTCCTCTTGGGATCTGGGGCATGCATGCTTTCAAGCTGTCAGGTTTGAGAGTCGAACTATGTGTCAGCCATGTGGGATTCAGCCACCTTAACCCCCACACCACTGGCCGGCCTGCATTTGCAGTTCTTCATGTGCCTCGTAGCCTGCACTAGTCAGTATGCCAAAGCAGTTTATGGGGGGGATGCGCCCTGACCCTGCAGGCCATCCCTCACCCTCCCTCCAGGAGATGGGTACATAGCTGAAGTGAGCCTGTAACTGTCAGATGTTACTTGACAAAGATATGGCTCGTGAGTTCAGAAAATATGCATCTATTGGGCTGGCAGGTGCATGGTGGCTGAGGCGGCTGGACTCCCACATGGCTGACCATGGTTCGAATCCCGGATCTGGCAGCTTGCTTTCTCATTTTTTGTCTCTCTCTCTCTGTTTCTCTCTGGTCAACTTCAAAAAGTAAAATAAAATAATGACAATGAATAAAATTTTTAAAAAAGAAAGAAATTATGCATCTCAACTCAACTATTTATATTCTCAACACAAGGATGGGATTAGCTATGGCATTATAATATTTGTTCTAGTATAATTAAGTAATTTTTCAGAAGCTACAGATTTATTAACTTTTTTTTGCTTTGTCTAAACTATGACAAAAAAAGAGAATTTAGATATTCAAATAAAAATGTCATCTACTTTTTAATGTAAGGTTGCAGCAATTTTAAAACAGTTAGATACATTTCTTACAAAAGATCCCCCAGAAAACATTATGGGACGAGTGAAGATGTTATGCATATGCGTGAGTGTGCACACAGACACACATTCTTCTTCTTTTTTTTTTCCCATTCTTAATTGTGACTGGAACTAAGATCAGGGCTGGTGTGGCACAGAGATAAGACTCTAGCTCAAGAATTGGTTTTCTTGGTTCAGATCCTGGCTCTGTCATGTATTATAATTATCTGATCCTGAGCAAAGCTTCTCAGTCTCTCTCAACTTTGATTTTGTCATTTGTAAAATAATATTAATTATAGTACCTACTGCATAGGATTTGAAACTATGACAAGTGATTATATGTATGTCTCTAAGAGAGAGAGAGCTAAGAATAATACTTGACTCATAATAAAACCTCAAATAAATGTTAACTGTTATTACCATTATGTGTAATGCATTGTCTCATTTGGATACTGTAGTAGAATTTAAACCTGAAAAACTAAAGATTGGGACCAGCAGTTGTCGTAATGGCTATGTCTCTGGACTTCCATGTAGCCGACTGCAGTTCAAGCCCTGGATCTGGTGGCTTAAATGTGCCCAATATCCCAAGAGAAGAATGGAGGAGAAGGGATTGCAACATGGCCATCCACCCCTGGGGGGTGATTTCTCTCTTTCTGTCGCTCTGACTCCCTCTGTCTTTCTGGTGAACACATGCACCCTATAGCAAAAACCTCTCCAAAAAGAAAAACTAAAGATCACTTAAACATTACTTCTTAGGATTTCAGTCCTTTTGCAGAATTTCAGAAGGTTCTGATAAGTATCTGTACTTCAGTGGTTCAGCAAACTTTTATTACTCTTTCTAAAATATTTTCTTTATAAAAACACTTAGAACAGCTGTACTTGCCTTGTAAGCATTTGCCTTTGGCCAACTGAATATTTCGGAATCAAAAAGCAATAGAAAAATAGTACCCAAAAAAGTAAAATTTTTAATTTTTTAATTGAGTTTCCATTTGGGCTGAGAATGAGATATTCAGGTTGTTTAAGTGGATTTTCCTTCCCAAAGAAAACAGTAGATAGCTTTCAACGGTAATGCTTTAAATTTAGGGTTTTGGGGGTTTTTTTAGAATTAATTTTCTTCCTTCACAACAAAACTGCATTTTATGTTTATTTGAGCTGCAGCGCTTTCTCAGGCTGGTTAATATTTAATTTTAATATTTATCAGACTTGTTTAAGATAAAAAGAAAATAGAAAGTGCAACCTATTATTTAGAGACTCCAATATAATAAACTCCATAAAAGTAGAGTCACTTTATGAAGCAGACAGTTGAATAAACTGTGCACCGTTCTTCTTAGCACTTCTAAGCAATTAAAGGGGAAACATGATGCACCGAACCAATCTAGGCCTCTGATGATTTTCCAGAAGCACAAAGAAAGAGACGAGAAATGACTCTGATGGCGTGTCTTTCTCCTTGCTGGTACAGGGAGGCCACCTTCCACGTGGGCAGAGGAAGGTCAGCGCGACCTGCATCTACTGTTGTGCTTTGTTTTTAAATTTTTCTCTAGGACTCATGTGCTTATGGGGGAACAGAGAGCGAGAGAGGGAGAAGTCGAGAGCACCGTCATGGATTATGGCCATCTGCAGTTCCTCCTCCATTCTCCTCTTGGGATCTGGGGCATGCATGCTTTCAAGCTGTCAGGTTTGAGAGTCGAACTATGTGTCAGCCATGTGGAATTCAGCCACCTTCACCCCCACACCACTGGCCGGCCTGCATTTGCAGTTCTTCATGTGCCTCGTAGCCTGCACTAGTCAGTATGCCAAAGCAGTTTATGGGGGGGATGCGCCCTGACCCTGCAGGCCATCCCTCACCCTCCCTCCAGGAGATGGGTACATAGCTGAAGTGAGCCTGTAACTGTCAGATGTTACTTGACAAAGATATGGCTCGTGAGTTCAGAAAATATGCATCTATTGGGCTGGCAGGTGCATGGTGGCTGAGGCGGCTGGACTCCCACATGGCTGACCATGGTTCGAATCCCGGATCTGGCAGCTTGCTTTCTCATTTTTTGTCTCTCTCTCTCTGTTTCTCTCTGGTCAACTTCAAAAAGTAAAATAAAATAAAATAATGACAATGAATAAAATTTTTAAAAAAGAAAGAAATTATGCATCTCAACTAAGTGCAGTGAGTGATGGTGTCTCTGGCCTCAGCACCGACAGTGAGCCTTGTGCTGTGGGGCACACACCTGGGCATGCCTGCCACTTGGCCATACCACAAGGCCGAGCTCGGACGCGCTGTAAGGCATGAGAGGTTCAGGTGCGTCTGTGTGATGGGTCTGCACACTGGGCTGAGTAGGAGGGGCCTGGGACAGCTTCCCAGACCTCCGGCGGGTGGCTAGGCATAATAACGGGCCAGGGCCTTCCTCTTGGGTTCCAGGAACACTGAGTGCGACTTTAGACTTGGGAGTGCTGTGTGTTAGTTTGTTGGGAAAGTCATGAGTTGTTTTTCTATGCAACAATGCATCCCGACTTTCCTGACAGCCCAGTATCTGTGGAAGCCATGGGTATCTCTACAGCAAGTGCTCATTATGTATTCAGAAAGGGAACTCAGGCAGAAGAGCCTGGTGAGGGGCCTGTCTCCTTTAGATGGAAGTCATCGAGGCTCTGCACCTGAGACCTCCGGGCATCCAGGTGAATGCAGGAGCCTAAGGCCCAGGAGACAGGCCTGGCCACAGCAGGGCAGGGCCGTGCTAGAGCACTGTGGCCTCCTAAGGGGAGTGGTTGGGGCCAGAGGGACTGGGGAGACCTGCAAGGAACTAGGATGGTCCCTTGGGTTTAAGGAATTTATTTTCTACTCAGTCCTCAGAGTTCTTAAAATCACGTTCTTAGGGTTTAATTCACGTGTTTAAAGTGGTCAGCTTACATGCATAAGCGAAGTGGATGTGGTAACAGCCAGTGAAAGACAGACAAGCCCACGAGACTGTCTTGCGAAACGGGAGGGGACCAGGAAAGTGGCCAAGTACAACTGGTACAGGTCACAGATAGCCCAGGAGGGCCGTGTTTAGAACTCCCTCCAGGTGCTGAGGGCAAGGTTCCAGGTAGTAAGCAGGGGCCAGGTGGGGGCCCTGGAGGCAGCAGGGACCACACAGAAGGTGGGGCCTGAGCCTGATTCAGGTTTGGGAGAGGGCACAGACCTTGCTCAGCGCGGGAGAGAGGGCGGCCCCTGAGGCTGGAAGTGCCTGCTGGCAGGTGAGTACTGTGGACTGCAGTAGACCAGAGTGTCTGCAAAGGGAGAAAGCCCTTATGTTGGCTTCCACCCATGATGACCTGACAGGGCCTGCGCTGTCACGGGACCCAGCCGGCCCTTGGTTCCTCCCACTGGGCAGGCAAAGCCAGGGCCAGCTCTGCCTGGGCTGTAAGCAAGAGTAGTGCTCCCTGGCCTGCCAGCTGGTCTCTCCTCCATGCTGTCTGTCAGTCTGTTATCACATGAGGTTAGGAGTGCTTGATTTTCTTTGCATTTTCCGGGAGGCAACAAAGAAGACAAGGCAGGAGAGGCCTGGGGAGAGTTAGAGGGAGTGGGTGTCAGTGCCCAGGGAGCCGGCAGGAACAGAACCCAGCTCCGCTGCAGGCAGCCTCCAGGGAGAGCCCTCTGCGTTCCACGTGTCTCCTCTCAAGCTGGGCAGTGAGTCTAGGAGAATCAGACACTACGCAGCTGGAGAGAGCTGGAAAACCAAAATAAAATTTCTTTGAAACTGTTACCAAAATAATGGATAAGCAAAAAACATATTTACATCTCTTTGGTAACAGATAGGTGTGTCACATGTAGTACTTAGAAACATGTTTTCTGTTTGAACTCTTGGATAAAAAAAATTTGATTTGAAAATTGTTTTTCTTAATGTTTTACAGGCAAGTCTTAAAGATGTCAAATATGATGAGAAGGTCTTCTCTCACCTGTCGCTGGAGTTGGCAGACCGCATACTGTTAGCTGTCAAGGAGTTTGGGTACCACCGCTACAAGTTCATTATAAAAGTGTTGTTTATCCAAAAGACCGGCCAAGCAATAAATGTAAGTGCTGAGACAGGGCTTCCACCCAGGAGGGCCTAGGCCTGACCCATCTGTGGTGGGGCACCGGCAGCCCCCCGGGCTGGGGCCTCTGGACAACACGTGGCTGGCTAGGCACGTCTTACTTCACTGCGGATCCCTGGGCCAGTGCCGACCTCCAAGCTGCCTTTGCTGGCGGTGGCCTTAGGCTGTGTGCTGAGCCTTCCCTTGCCCACTCCAGGCTCAGCCCCGACTGCAAGGGTGTCCACCCAGCCCCAGCATGTGGGGCTCTGAGAGATGAGGGGAGGTGCTGGGGGACTCCAGGAGTGCTAAGACGGGGACAGTCCCAAGGAGGACAGATGGCGGGACATAACCGACCTGAGCCACCCAGCGGCCCGGGAGGACTGAGGCTGCCCAGGCCCACATCTTGGGGGCACGCTCGTGGCCTCATCTGTGTTGTGGTAAGCACAGGGGCTCCTCTCAGAGCTGGTCTGCTGGCGCCCTGGCACTCCACACACCACGCGGTTATCTCTGTGACTTGGACGCAGAGAGAGAAGCCCCAGCCATGTGTGCTTGAGGGAGTGAAGGTGTAGGGCAGGGTAGAGACTTGGCTTTGGAACCACCTGGGGAGGCTTCGTGTGGCTTGAGCAGGCGAGGGTGCTGGACTCAGAGTCAGCAGACAGGGAAGGGGCGTGGGCTCCAGCCACATGCCAGTGGCACGGTCTTCAGGTGCAGGTGCTCTGTGGAGGGCGACACGTTCAGTGACGGACAGATGGACGGACGAGTGGCTTCGGGGATGGTCTGGAGAGTGGAAGACCAGCAGTGCCAGAGGCGAGGGGTGTTCCCAGGCGGAGGAGTCCCAGGCCAGGGAGGGACCGGGCAGACTGGATTGGTCACAGTGGCCTCAGCAGAGAGTGGGGAGGGGCCATCCGCTAGGTAGACTGCATGACAAGCTACCCAGAACTTGGAGCCAAAGACAACAGTCACTGGCCCAGTTGTGACATGCGCTGCTTAGACCCCGGGCCCACAGGCTACGGCCATTCGAGAGGCCAGTACTGGGGAAGCCGAGGTGGGAGGCCCAGATCCCAAGGCTGGAGCAGCTCACGGCAGCCCAGGGAAGGGGCCTTTCCGTAAGTGCCTACTGTGCAATCAGCGTTTGTCTTCAAAGTGGTAACGAAGCGTGGTGGGAGCCCCACGGTGGGAGACGAGTTCCTGATCACAGACTGGGACGCAGCAGAGAGCCGGGCCTGGGGCTGCTACACAGTGCCAGGCCTCCGCCCAGCCTGACCCTCTGCTGAGGACGTGTCTCTACCAGATGCTGCCCGCTCCAGGAAGAGGCCGGGGGTGGAGGCAGCATCTCTGAGTCTTTTCATGAAAGAAAGTTGGATAGATTACTTTTTCTTTAATTGCCAGAGGGCATGTGCAATCGGGCTCCTGTGCAGTGAGAAACCGGTGCACTGTGGGGCCGGCCCCAAGGTACTCCCAGATACAACGGCCTAATCGGGCTCCTGTGCAGTGAGAAACCGGTGCACTGTGGGGCCGGCCCCAAGGTACTCCCAGATACAACGGCCTAATCGGGCTCCTGTGCAGTGAGAAACCGGTGCACTGTGGGGCCGGCCCCAAGGTACTCCCAGATACAACGGCCTAAGACGGTGTACTTCTACGTAAGGGGAACCAAACCTGGGCCAGCGCTGCAGCACAGTGGCCAAGCCCTGGCGTGGGGCCCCAGATCTCACCAGCTGACCTTGCTGAGTCCCAGCCCTGGTGGTCTGAGGAATATGCTAGGCACGTATGCGTGTGTGCCCAATTCCTGAGCAGACGGCGAGATGGAAGAGGGAGTACTGCCACATGGCCACACTCTGCAAGGGGGCTCTTTCTCTCTGGCGAGGTCGCACACCCTCTAGCAACTAAAGGAATGCACAGATAAAACGAGATTGGAAGACGTCTTGGCGTGCTCGGCGTCAGGTCAGCCTTCGGAAACTCTCTCGCAGATCGCCAGCAGATGGATCTGGGACGTTGCGTGGGACAGCTGGGCCGAAGCGAAGCACGAGACCGAGTCTTACGTGGCACTGGCCTTGGTGTTCGCCCTGTACTGCGAATAGTGGGCCACGGGCACAGCTTTTCCACATAATCAGAGCTTGCAGAATGTTGCCCCCCGGGGTTTCCATGAACTGCGCTCTTGTCTCCAGTCGCAGCTTCTGGACTGTGTTCTTTTGTCAACAAACAAGTAAAAACTAGAGTGTTACATTTCTTCTTCCGAGTTGTACTTGTTAACGTTGTTACCCCAAAGTAGTATAAGAGGTATGTGCGTGTTTATGTGAAAAGACTGGGTACAAGGTTCCGATTGGGACTCTTGCTGAGGATTCGGGGGGTGTGGGGCAAACCATTGATGTCTGTGAGAAGCACTGTGATTTGGATTTCTTTTCCCAAAAACATGTCCTGACAAACTCATTGACCAGCAGAAATACCCGCTGCTGAGTTAGCCGTGAAGCAGGAGACGCCGACGGCAGGGCAGTGTCTTCCCCGTGCTTCGTAAGGAGCTAGCGGGCTGTCCCCATTAGTGACACACGGTTCCGGCCTGAGAGATCCGAGCACAGAGCGTGCTGGGCCCTCTCAGAGAGCCCCTCCAGGGTGCTCTGGTGCTCAGAGCAGGACACGTGGACGGCCCAGGCTGGCAGTCTGTCCCGCAGAGCCCAGGCAAGAGGATCACAACCCAAAGAATCTTCAAAAAGGGAGCTGGCAACTGCTGCCCCTGGCCACAGCCGAGGAACGCGCACCTGGGAGACTCGCCATCCAGGGCGGCCATGACAGCCTGGCTTCCGAAAGGAGAGAGGCCTTCCTCCTCAGGGTAGCAGGGCTCCCTTGGGCACTGTGGAGCAACCCTGAAGTGCCCCCTTCCTGGGAGGGCTAGCAGCATTGACCCGCCTGCAGTCCCGCCCTCTCCCTGCGCTCAGGTGTGAGTGGCACGCTCACTTAGTAATCCAGGTGCTGCTGTTGAACTGGCTCAAAGTCGCCCCAGTCCCCACTGGACGTCTCTGTCTGGGCTCTGCCCCCCTGGGTGCCTCACCGCCCGCCTCCCAGCTGCTCCTCTGTCAGGTTTTGGTCAGCAGCATGGACTCTGCATGCTCTAGCCCTGTGGGAGGCGGACTGTGCTGGGACCCAGAGCGACTGGGAACCCGCCGCGCGGAAGGGCAGGGCGGGCATCTAAGGGCGGCCTGGGGGAACCTGAGGCCTGTGGTCCTCTTGGCCTCACCCCCTTCCCACTCCTCACCACGGAACCAGGGTGTTACCATGGCAGAAGCATAATTTTGATTGATCACAGTTGTGGCCAGTTGTCCCCAAAGCTCTGGGTGGTTCCTGGTTGCCTTCTCAGTGGGTATAAACTCTCTGCCTTGTCTTGAGCTGCTGGATTCTCTGCGCCATAGGGCTGCCATTTTGGGAGGCCCAGGAGAACCCAGGTGCACCCTGAATCCTGCGGTCCCACAGCACTGGCGGCCCAGCCCTTCCTCTCGGCCCCTCGTCCAGGCTGCGGGAGAAGCCCCCTCCGTATGCTCACGGTGTCTGCACAGCTCTGCCTTCCCACCGCACAGCCCTTTCCTCCTCCTCCCCTGCGGGCTGTGGAGGCCCAGCTGTCGTCCACTGGGGTGGCTCTGACCATCGGCTTGCAGGGGGACCATCACCTGAAGCCTCTGGGCCACCCTGCTGCATAGTCAAGGCAGTAACCTCTGAGCCAACTTCTCGTTATCTTTAAGGAGCCCTAAAGGTCACGTGACATTTACGTTGGTCACCACGGGGATCTGGCCATCCCTGATCTGATGCCGCCTCCCCGGCTTCTGAGCGCAGTTCTTCAATTCCCCCACCCCACCTCCCCTCTAGGTAGGTCCTGAGTCCCTTCGCTCACAGTTGCCCTGAGGAGGGGCCCTCTGACACCCACGCTGAGCAGCTGCTTCTGTCACGTCCCGACCATGGCCACCGCAGAGCCAGGAGGCAGGGCCTGCCGTGCTGGGACCTGTGGCTCCTGGAGGCACACACTAGCCGTGCAGGCTGCCCTGCCCTCGGCCTGCTGTGGTGGCTTGCAACCCCTGACATGCTCCTTGGCAGTGCTCGAAGACGTGAGCTACTGGGTCACAACCTCCACCTTCAACCAACCGGTACCTTCATTCTCCGTGGCCGCAAAGGCCACACAACAGGCCACTCGGCAGAATGGTCCTCCCTCGTCCCACGTGGCATGCCCAGATTTCAGTCACCATGACTGAGTCCCGTAATACCAGCCCCGTGGCCTGGCTTGCCGGGGACCAGCCTCGGCGTGGGTGGGTTATCTCGACGGAGGTGGCGAAGGTGAACAGAAGACAGAGGCCTCGGTGCCTTTTTATGCATGTCCTATGCCGGACACCCCTCAAAGATCGCTCTCTGAGGAGTGACCACTGCTAGGAATCATTGTGCGTTTTTATTGAAAACGTGTTACATGCAAGTAAATGGAAGAGGGACTACGTGTTTCAATTATCAGCTCATAGAGTTTTAACAATAGAGAACATAGATTCTATTTAGGGTTGGATTAAGGGTGGGCCTAGTGCGGTTCCTCAGTTGTAGGTGGGTCTCCATGGAATGCAGTTTCAGGAAAGCGGTTCCGGTAAGCAGAGGTGATTATCAGCTGATGCGGCGCAGCAGCCATCTTGTGATTACTGGGAATGGTGCTGAGAAAAGAAAATCTCAAGAATAGATATTAGTTTTTATGGATCTTAATAAAGAATGGTACTTATACAGTTTTGTAGGGATCTAAAACTTAATTTGAGGAATCCTAATATATTTATCTATTTCACTTGGTGAGGGCGGGGGTGTCCTGGGCCAGTTTTGGCCTAATCCTATTTTAGGTAAAGAAAGGGTTAAGTTTACCTTAAATGTATTTTGAAGGGCCTTCCAAAGGTCAAGATTACTTCTGCCTAGAAAGAACTTCAGCCCACCCTCTATTGTGACCATGGAGGTAAAGCATTATAATTAATAGTAAGTGATCAGAGCAAAGGGGAGCGGTCGGGGACTTCCTGGAAGATTTTATCATATACTCAGGATGTATAGGAGAGCTATGCAATTCTTTCATAGTAGTAAATTGGGGAGTC